CACAATGCGCCGGCGCCGCCTTGTTCCCCTTTACAAATCGAAGAGCGAGTTCTAGCTCCTCTCTCGCCACATGACATGGATGTTGCGGTTGTGAGCTGGGCGGCGCTTTGCCATCCTCTCCCGCACAGATGTCCTTCCAGAATGTGGCCAATTCCTTGACCTCCTCGGCCGGGCAAAGCAGCCGGCCTGTGGTTGCCCGAAGTTGGGGGCGCTTCTTTGCTTGCTTGGGCGCCCACTTCTTGATCTTAAGGTAAAGGTAGCTGAAGACCCGTCCACCTTATCAGCAAGTATCTAATCAAAGTGGTTAGGAGGCTTGGGCCCCGCTGACGCATGGCCGTGCGGCGGGAGACGAGCGCATCGCGCGATGAATGGAACACAAAGACGAAAACAAGGCCGGTGAGCATTTCGAGGTCGTGAGACGCGTGTGAGGAAATGGACAAGTGGGCGTTTGCTTGTTTTTTTTTGCTGCCACGCAGAGTCTTCATTGCGCTGCACGGCAGGCACATGGATGTGTTCCAGGATGTCGTCGTGAACGATGGAGACGGGCCCGCTCTAGTGTTGGGTGAATCGTGTGTGGCCTCGCACCAAAATTAACTGTCTTCAGCGTGTGGCTCGTTAGTTTTGCATAGATCTCTCGCGAGTGCGGCCACGCGGTCATCCGCGCTGAAGCTGGACGTCGCGGTAGAACTTGTGGAGTTGTCACGGGTTTTAGGGCTTAGGCGTTTAGGGTTTGAGGTGGGAGCCGGGTTTTGGTGGGTTGCAGGAGGAAAAAAAGGGCGGGGAGGCCCTCCTTGTATATGGTGACTCTTCGTCGGGAGTTTGTTAACTTGAGAGTTTGGGGAGAACTGGAAGGTTCCATGGATGCATCAAACGTGGGTATCTTGGGATATCCTGGGAAAGCTTGCGCTTATGAACCTTAAGCCTAAACCCTATAGATCCCGATCGGGCCACTGCTGGTCCTTCAGAAGGCCCCCCCGCTGGCCCAGAGTTTCCTGGCACAGTCTAGGGCTTAGTTTCGGATTTCGACTCTCTCAAACTCGCGCACGAGGCAGGCAAGGCTTCCGTTAAAGAGTTCGGGTCTGGGGGTCTTGGGCTTTGGATTTGGGGTAAGCAACAAAGCCCTCACAAACCGACACCTCTCCTACGAAGCAGAGTCCGGGAATACTTATGAATACTTCACAGTCTCAGGTCTGTCGTCGAAAACATGTTCCGTTTTCGGGCATCCCAACCCCCCCAAAAAAGGCTGGAGAGAAAAATACCACGGATCAAACTGGCAATGAGCAAAAACGAGCCTTAAGTGACAACTTGTAAGTCCAATTACGTGCGCCTCTTTGCTATTAAGAGTCTTAAGAGCGGCATCGCGTTTCTGAACCTCGGATTTGGAACTAAAACTTTTAACCCTCAACCCAAAACTTCGGGACTTGAATGCGTTCACGGGGCTCTTAAAGATTTGGACTGCTTGAGGGTTTAGGGTTGAGGGTTGGGCGTTGCATTCACCACCCCCCCCCCCCCCCGTAAACCTAAAACTTCTAAACCCTGAACCCTAACCTTTTGCATCCAGGCCTATCCCAAACCCTAAACCCCACGCTGACCCCTAAACCCTTAAAACCCTAAACCCTTTTGCATCTGGTCTGCAGCGACTCAAAACCCTAAACCCTAAACCTTAAAACCCTAAACCCTAAACCGCCGGATCTCTGGGTTCAAGGATTTTGGGAGGCGCACCTCGCCCTCGCGACGCCCTGTGATCTCTTGGCACACGGTGTGCTTCAGGGCATCCAGGTCCTGAACTGCCGCGCAGGGTTTAGGGTTTAGGGGTTTAGTAGCAGCCCCTTATAATAGCCAAATATATCTAAAAATCCTCAAGTACGGGTATATCCTTTATGGGGCTGGCTACTTTGAACAGGGAGGCCAGAACCCCAAAATTGCAAAAGGGCGCCAAGCGGACAGAATCCCACACATTCCAATCCAAAAGCCCCGTGGGGGGAGTGTATAGCGAACGGACTTTAGGGCTTTTTTGCCACCTGCCTAGCAGCCTCACAACCACACTTCAGGGATGCAATACGTCCATCGTGAGTAAAAAAGAAGACGGAGAAAGGGAAAAGAGGTAGAAGAATACAGGCTTTTAGGGTTTAGGGTCTTTAGGATGCGCTGCCGGTGAGGATTTTGCGGGCCTTCGTCAGCGAGTCGATGTGCTTTTTTCCATGGTCCTCGCACACGGCGATGCGCATGTGCATCTCCTCCAGCCTCGCCTGCGCTTCCCCCAGCTCCTTCCAGGCAGAGCGTTTCACATATCATCTGATGACTTGTCAAAAAAAGTCATTGGTCGATTCGGTTGGGTTTGCTTAGGGCTTCGGGCGGTCGCAAGCAGTCCCTGGCATGCTTGCCCGCAGAGTCCCCGAGCATCTGCTCGATGTAGTCCAGGCGCTCGGACATCCTGGGAGTCAGCCACGTGCAAAAAAGAGCCCTGGGTGCAGCCTATGGCCCTGCTTAGGGCCTAAGGGTTTACTTCTGTTTGGGTTTTCAGGGCGCCTTACCATGGTGCCTTGTCATGACAGACATCGATCCGCACCGGACCTGGGTCCAGGTGACCATCAACAAGTTGCCTCGAAAGATGCCCCAGCTTCAATGCTAAGCTGCTAAACCCCTCCAGAAAAATCCCCTCCGAAAACCTTCCGAGAACCCTGCCCATCCTGCCCTCAACTTCCCTGAGCACCCCCGAACGCTTTAAACGGCGCCAGGGTCAAAGAATGGTTGGACTTCACGTCGCTTGCCACCTTCTCCTGGAGCTCGGCCAGTGCCTCGCAGCCCCAAGAGAAATTTCTGGATTTATATTTTATGTTTCATGCAGGAAAGGCTCGAATAGGGTCATACAATCTCCTTCTGTTTTTAGCAGTTTTGGGATCTGACCGGGCTTTGCAGGGCCTACGGGGCTTTCGGTTTCGTGGCTTAGGGCACATATGGGTCTTTAGGGAGTTCGCAAGATCGCCTTCGATGTTGTTCGGTCTCCTGAGGTTTCCAGGCCTCTTCTGGGTTGAGGTTTAGGGTTTAGGGTTTAGGGTTTAGGGTTTAGGGTTTAGGGTTTAGGGTTTAGGGTTTAGGGTAAAGGGTTTAGGGTTTAGGGTTTAGGGTTTAGGGTTTAGGGTTTAGGGTTTAGGGCTTAGGGTTTAGGGTTTAGGGTTTAGGGTTTAGGGTTTAGGGTTTAGGGTTTAGGGTTTAGGGTTTAGGGTTTAGGGTTTAGGGTTTAGGGTTTAGGGTTTAGGGTTTAGGGGTTAGGGTTTAGGGTTTAGGGTTTAGGGTTTAGGGGTTTAGTAGCAGCCCCTTATAATAGCCATATATCTTAAATCCTAAAGTACGGGTATATCCTTTATGGGGCTGGCTACTTTGAACAGGGAGGCCAGAACCCCAAAATTGCAAAAGGGCGCCAAGCGGACAGAATCCCACACATTCCAATCCAAAAGCCCCGTGGGGGGAGTGTATAGCGAACGGACTTTAGGGCTTTTCTTGCCACCTGCCTAGCAGCCTCACAACCACACTTCAGGGATGCAATACGTCCATCGTGAGTACAAAAGAAGACGGAGAAAGGGAAAAGAGGTAGAAGAATACAGGGCTTTTAGGGTTTAGGGTCTTTAGGATGTGCTGCCGGTGAGGATGTTGCGGGCCTTCGTCAGCGAGTCGATGTGCTTTTTTCCATGGTCCTCGCACACGGCGACGCGCATGTGCATCTCCTCCAGCCTCGCCTGCGCTTCCCCAGCTCCTTCCAGGCAGAGCGTTTCACATATAATCTGATGACTTGTCAAAAAAAGTCATTGGTCGATTCGGTTGGGTTTGCTTAGGGCTTCGGGCGGTCGCAAGCAGTCCCTGGCATGCTTGCCCGCAGAGTCCCCGAGCATCTGCTCGATGTAGTCCAGGCGCTCGGACACCTGGGAGTCAGCCACGTGCAAAAAAGAGCCCTGGGTGCAGCCTATGGCCCTGCTTAGGGCCTAAGGGTTTACTTCGGTTTGGGTTTTCAAGGCGCCTTACTATGGTGCCTTGTCATGACAGACATCGATCCGCACCGGACCTGGGTCCAGGTGACCATCAACAAGTTGCCTCGAAAGATGCCCCAGCTTCAATGCTAAGCTGCTAAACCCCTCCAGAAAAATCCCCTCCGAAAACCTTCCGAGAACCCTGCCCATCCTGCCCTCAACTTCCCTGAGCACCCCCGAAGGCTTTAAACGGCGCCAGGGGGTCAAAGAATGGTTGGACTTCACGTCGCTTGCCACCTTCGAGCTCGGCCAGTGCCTTGCAGCCCCAAGAGAAATTTCTGGATTTATATGGCTACACACAGCGTCCTTTTATGTTTCATGCAGGAAAGGCTCGAATAGGGTCATACAATCTCCTTCTGTTTTTAGCAGTTTTGGGATCTGACCGGGCTTTGCAGGGGTTACGGGGCTTTCGGTTTCGTGGCTTAGGGCACATATGGGTCTTTAGGGAGTTCGCAAGATCGCCTTCGATGTTGTTCGGTCTCCTGAGGTTTCCAGGCCTCTTCTGGGTTGAGGTTTAGGGTTTAGGGTTTAGGGTTTAGGGTATGGAAGCCATGGCTCTCACCGGACCTCTTTTCCATCAGCGAAGCCTCTACTCAAGAGGGTCAACGACAAACCAAAGAAGAATTGGCTACAAACTACGGACTCATTTTGAAATTTCTGTACATGTACCTACAAGGGCCCACCTTAGGTGAAGCTTACTTAACGGGGTTGGGCCTATACCGAAAGATGGAAGCTCCCTGGAAGAGGTGCTGCGGCGAGCATACATATTGTCAAGCCGATTCACACTCCCCCTTTCGGGGTCTTGACACCCGAAACACAAACAATCGGCACAGTCAGGGCTTCCGCTTAGGTTGGCCTTCAGAATGCTCGGTGGTCCCCTGGCATGTTAGGCAGGCAGAATACCTGAGTGGACAGAGCAAACTTGGACTGGCAAAATGAAATTGGCTCCAAGTTCCGAAAGTCTTGTTGGTACTG